TCATCTTCATCTTCATCTTCATCTTCATCTTCATCTTCATCTTCATCTTCATCTTCATCTTCATCTTCATCTTCATCTTCATATTCATCTTCATCTTCATCTTCATCTTCATCTTCATCTTCATCTTCTACTTCATTTTCATCTTCATTTTCATCTTCATCTTCATCTTTATGTTCTTTTCACCTTTCCCTTCACATTCTCCTTACTCCCAATCTCGTTCGTTATCCTTATACTCCTTATATCTTTGTCCTTTGTCTATATCCTTGTCGTTGCTTTTGTAACGCAGACGTCGTGAAAGAGGTTGCACTTCAAAACCGTCTATAGATAACCCAATCAATCATCATAGAGTGTATCCTCCTCTACATTTCGGGAATCTTTAATTACATTCTTCAAGTCTTCCAATGTCATGGGCGATTCCCTTAATCGTATTCCTATTCGTTTTTGATTTACGGACAAAATAAATTTAAGCACTTACATTGTTCTGTGTCGTTTTCTTAAAAAATAGTAACTGTAATATTAGAGCTCGGAACCGAGCTTTTCAGGCCTTCAGCGCTCTATTCAGCTATGCATTTTATGCGTCAGCTTTGAAGCCCTAAAAAGCTTGGTGTGGAGTTCTAACTTAAGTTCTAACTACATAGGTTGTTAAAGACTTGACGTGAGTTCAAAATTCTTCTACAAAACTTGACTGTACACCCTGCTGTTACCTTGAATGACTCTTAAATATCTACTAAAAACATTCTACTACAATAATTATATGAACGTATGGACATACATATTTACATACGTATGTAGTTGCATTTGTATCTGCTATGACTTATTTACACACAAATGCGTATGCAAATACATACACACATACTTAGTACATATGAGGTAGGTAAATTAGCCTAAATGAGCTAGACCTACATATTTACATATTTATCACTTAGAAATGAGTGATGAGTGTGTGTGGTTGGCTCCAATGCCTAAAGCGTTTGGTTTATAGATCACTGTAATTTGTAAGTAAGCACGTAATTACATATGTACGTACATACATACATACAATATCTACAAATTACCCACATACATACATATATGTATTTGCACTTATAGCCGCTTTTAATAATTGACATTTTTACCAATTAGAATAGAACCTGTTTAATGCTCGTTTGACGTTTATTTTGTAACTTATTTTGTTTTGTTAAGCATTTTATAGCTTTTTCGTAGCTTTAATATTTAGTACTGGAATACGTTTCATTCTAATTTGCTGGATGTAATTTCAGCCTTTTTTTCTGACAACTTGATCGATAGTGCATGTACATATGTATGTATGTCTCAACGCACGTTAATTTATATCTTTCTACGTCAGCAGATAATGAGTTACTTTGTGATTTGTTGATTATCTGCATACATCAATTGTTAGAAGAATTCAACTCCATGTGTTCGATCATATGTATATGTACATTAGGGTGGTCCAAAAT